TATATATATATATATATATATATATATATATATATATAATAGCTTAAATTCGAACTTCCGCCTAAATTCCACTTCAAGTATAAAATTTGAGCCCTTTGGTGGTACGAAGAAGCCAGGAATAAGAGTAACAAACCACATGCAAGGGTGAAGATTTGCTTACTTCCTTTTTTGGGGGCTGCAGGCTGACCCGTTTTTCTCTGGGTCAACTGAAAAGGCTGTGAACCGTGATTTGAGAAGGGAGAAAAAACGTTCTCATACAATTATTTGCCGATGCCGAATACAGATAAATAGTTGCATTTTCGAAGCATTTTAATTATGATAGCGTAATATGAAGTTAAATTTATGCAAAAAGAGCTGTTTTTAAAGAAGATATATGTTAGACGAATGATTTGGACATATTGCTGTTACATAAGAAGCTTTCATCCTACTCATAAAATTATACTTTTTGGACCCAAAATTCTGCCTTGTGTTATCGCCGATTGCGAGGGTTTCAAGATGTAAGATTTCACTTCCTTCTGGAAAATACTGTTTGCTATAGAGAACTTCTTCAAAAACCAAAGATTTGGAAAATCTTTTCTATCCCACCACAAAATCACACGCGTTAGGTCGTTATTCGGTGTAGGATCGGTGAGTTGAGGTACGCGCTTCATTCTTCAGCGTCCACGGATAGATACTGCAAATTGAAGCGTATTTGTTTTCCTCTTGTAATCGTTTAGTTGCAGTACTTATGATGACGTTGTCTGCACACCTGGTCCTCACCTTAATGTCATTATTGGTACAAATGGAGCCGGAAAAAGTACGGTCATCTGTGGTATCTGTTTGGCTGTTGGAGGCAGTCCAAAAGTCCTTGGTAGATCTGAAAGGATGGGCGATTACATCAAGCATCGTCGTGACGAAGGCTATGTGGAAGTATACATGTAGGTGTTTTTTCGGATTCGTTCCCAATGTTTAATAGTTAAGTCAAAATTACTTTCACGTTGAAGTGCTGATGCTCAAAAAGGAGAGCAGCGAGTTAAGGTGCTTCTTCAAAGACCTAGTAGTTGTACTTACTCGATAAATGGATCCCGCACTACGCAACGTGCAGTTCGGGACTTCGTCGCCTCCTATAACATTCAGGTGCTTCTCATCCAATTTTCAAACTTCCAGGTTGATTACTGCTACAGTTATCCCTGTCTTTCAGATAGACAATCCGTGCACATTTCTTGCTCAGGATAAAGTAAAGAGCTTTTCCGAGCAGTCTCCTGTAGAGCTACTCATGAATACAGAAAGGGTAGCCTTTTAATTGTTCACTTTCCGCAAATTTCTAGTTTGTTCTTCAA